GGGGTGACCTTTAATTCCAAAAAGTGATCTTCACAATAAAAAGGTTGAAGACCACTGCTTTAGAGAGAGAACGTGAATGGTAAGTGGTGACTGTCAGTACTGGAAGTCCCAATCAGAAAACTTCCAGGCAACAATGCAAGTGTTGTAGAGGCAAATAGCTGATGGAGGTTTGGAAGTTGATCACAGGGTTTGCAAGAAAAGAGATTAAGAAACTGGAAGACGAGCTAGAAAAGGTTAAGAAGTCATGTGGAGTTAAAAGCACTCCTGCTAGAAATCAGGGGAGTACACATGGTGAATAAACTGACCCCTCATGTGGGAGCATTTTCAACTATAGATCCCAGGGAACTGAGAACCAGATCTAGACTCGGCCTTTGCCCACAGCACCTGAGCTGAGGATACAAATTGAACCATCTGCACCAGTGGCGCCATTTTGAACAAAAGAAATTATTCAGCCAGCAATGTGAGTTCACAAAGAAACTGAGACCATGGTTGTGCCACTTGCAGCTGACCAAGTAAGAGCAATTGGGAAGCAGTTGAGTCCAGTCTGTTAGAAAAGAGAGTCCAGTAGCATGGCTAACAGATGGCTCTGACTAATGGTTCTGGATTTATAAGATGTCCAAGACATAGTTCAGGAATATCAAGATTTTTCAGCTCTTCACTTGATATAAAAACCAGGTCAGTCCCATAGACCAGTATGATCAGGGATGTAATATTGAGGCTGTTTTTCCCCAATGAACCACCGATCATTCTGTTTCATGAAGAGAAACAGGCAGTGAGTAAAGCTAGAGATCTATTTAGCATGGAAAGTATTGCTGGCTGTGGCAGATAATGTCACGGTGCCTAGGAGGTGACCAGTGTTGGATTTCAATATCCAAGAGTTTATTGAGCCACTAATGAACAGGTTCACACCGAAGCTGTGCATGTATCTCAGAGCGGGTGTAATGGCAAGTAGGGCTGTGCGAAACGGCACTGTTCTGTTCCAACTTCAGGTTTAAGGTCTGGACAGAACAGTGTTTTGTGTCGAATTTCATTCTGAGGCAAAACAGCCTCACTGTTTTGCTTCATTAAGACAGTGAGGCTGTTTTGGTGCTGTTTTGATGTTTCACCCGACCAACAGGCTGGGGAAAGGAACTCAGCTCCCTGAGTGGGCTGGGGAAACTCAGTCCAGCTGGTCTGAGTTCATTTCCCCAGTGCGACAATTGCTTTGGGGAATTCCCATCCCCTGTGCCAGATTGGGCTAGGAAAGGGCTGATTTCCCATCGCCTGCTGGATCTAGCACCAGGAATGGGAAGCTAGCCCAGCTGGGCTGATTCCTGTCCCCTACCCGATCTAGTGCCAGGGATGGGGAGGCCGCCCAATTAGGCTGAGTTCCTGCTACAAGCCCGATCAAGCGCAGGGGATGCAGAGTCAGCTCAGCTGGTCTCACTCCCCGTCCCCTGATAGATCTTGCACCAGGAATGGGAAGTCAGCCCAGCTGGACTGACTTCCCATCCCCAGCAGTATGATCGAAATGTTTCGACTTCCGAAACATTTTGACCAGTCTCATTTTGTTTCCAGTCTATTTTGATGCCCTTGTTTTGCCTTGATTTTGCTGTTTTGACCTTGAAATCAGTTGAAACAGTGTCAAAATGAAACAGCCATAGAAATTTTGCACAGCCCTACTGGCCAGTAACTTTGATGAAATAATGAGGTAGGCCAAAACAGGCTATAATTGAGATACCAATAGGGAAAACAAGCAGAAGCAACAGGGGAAAACTGCCGCTATAGCCACCAGCTGCCATAGCAATTCCCCTAAGAATAAGCACAGGACCAGAAAGACAGCAAATAAGATTGTTGATTTTAGCACAGAAACGTCTATAGGAAAAAGAAGGAAATGCGGACAGAGAGAGGAGGGTGACATGCACTCTGTCTGCACGTGAAGATTAGGGAATCCCAGGAGTGGGAGGTTCACTTTCAGGAACACCAGCTGCTCCACCAAAAGAGGATCCAAGGAGGTGTGGTGGGGTGTCACTACATCACAAGCAATGCTGAGCACCCTCTTGCTTGGAACACTGATTGGTGGACAGGACAGGTATTCCTAGGCAACCATGGCCAGATCCTGCCACATCTGGTTGCGGCTTGCCCAGTAGGCCAAGGGGTCACACAACAGGGGCTCCACATCCTAGGTGAGATAGGCAGCCACTAAGGCCTGAGCACTACCTGCCTGATGGTGGGGTCTGGTGCCTCTGGATCCTACCACTGAGGCCATGCCCTTGACCCACATTGGCAGGGCCTGTGGTGGAAGAGGAGACTGGCTGGTGGATGGCGTGCTGGCACGGGACAATGAATCTCCCTCTTCCATGTCTCCCTGCCTCTACCCATCTGCCTCCCTGACTCTGTTCACTAGCACCTCTGTCCACTGATCCAGGGTTTGGCTGCTGCAGATGCTCCCCTTCACACTCGGGTCACAGATGGCAACCAGTATGTGGACCATATTGGACCAAAAGGGATTAAACCGTTTCTTGATGCCCTCCTTCAGCGGCCTCACCAGTGCCTGCACATCTGGTGACAGCAGCTTGCCCCAGCCAGGAACACTGATCCCCTGAAACTTCTCCATTTGGCTCTGAAGTTCCCTCACTATGGGGATCACCTGGCTAAGGAGGGCATTGGCATTGCTGAAGGTCTCAGTGGCCTCGAGGAAGGGCTGGAAGACCACTAAAACCTGCGACATGTTATCCCACTCAGCTCTGCTCAGGGGGCTGCTGATCCCAATCTCCCTGAGCAAGGCCAGCTCATGGATGGCCTTCTGTTGCTCCACCAGCCTCTCGAGCATCAGGTATGTGGAGTTCCACCGAGTCTCCACATCCTGCATGATTTTGTGCTGTGGGATGTCAGCTCTGCCTGTTTGTCCTGCAGCATCTTGCCCCAGTTGATGTTCCGGTGGAAGTAGCCTGTCACCTTTCTGCATCTGGAAAAGAGCATGCTGGTGCTGTGACCAGAAGCCTGGTCTCTCTCCAAGACAATGAGGTAAGAGATATCATCCCTGACAATGAGGTGAAACTTGTGTGCCACACACTGGATACCAACAAAGTTGTCATCACGCACCGCCTTGACCATATTGGCCCCACTGTTGGTGACTACAAACCAGCGGGTGAGCACGCCCTGGCCCATGAGCCACCCCTGCACCAGATCAAGACCCTGACCCCCGCTACCTCCTGCAACAGCTCACCAAAACTCCCCAATGCAGGGCCACACTTTTCTCTCTCTCCAATTGCCCTGATTCCCCTCCACTACCCAGAGCAGCAACAGATACCATGCCCAAATCCCTACTCCTGCCCAAAAGGCAAGCAAGCCCTGATCCCCACCTCAACCTGGAACATGCCAGCCTCACCTACAGTTTATGACAGTACCCACCCAGCTTACAGGAAGAAGCCCAGGTGGGCGCCTGCATCATGGTACGTCTTTGCTGTTTCATTCAGAGTTCCTGCCATATGCTTGAGGCAAACACTGCTTTGGATACTTTCTCCTTTTTCTCTTTTATTCATATGCTTTTCTTCCTCTCATCAACAAAAGTCTGTCAGGAGGCTGGACCTGAGTGTTTAAAGCTAAATAATCCCATCCTTGTTCTTAAGGACTTATGTGGAAACTGAGAGGTGACCCTTTTGAGACACCTACACCTTCCTACACAGCTGATCCCAGAGTGTCTCTAGCTGAGAAGCCTGTTAGACAGAAGATCCACTGGAAAAAAACCCTCCCACAAGGCTGCTGACAGTTAAAAAAGAGAAACATGAAATTAATGACACTTTACCACTACACTGCTAGGAACTCTGTAAAACTCAGGCAAAATCTGATAGAGGTCTGAACTATCCAAGTCATAGAGGTTTTGCTCCTGATACTGTGTAGAAGGCATATGTTGATTACGGTGGCCACGAGCATCCTAGACATGCTATAGTGATTACCTCAGTGGACTTTCCACATGCTCAGCATGATGCTTGATTGCATTTGTTTCCAGGCTCCAGTTAACCGGTAGAGAGGTGTGAGAGTTCCTGTAACAGGCCAACATAAAAATGTTATGATACATTCCCTTCTGATGTTATACAAGAAATAGATCAAAAGTAGGAAGGATCTTTGTTCCAGAACATAGAAAGCAATAGCTAGTCACATCAGGGTGTTCAAACACATCATCACTTTCTGTGAGATGACCCTGAGAGAGAAGTCATT